CTCTCTTCGAGAATGTTCACCACGTTGAGCCTACTCCTTACATCTGCGGCGTCCCCTTCAGTCGATTCTTGGACAAATTGAGTTGAAGAATAGCGTAATGAAAGCCGCCATAGATAAGGGTGGCGGCGCTGGATGGCGCGAGAACGAAGAAGAATGGGGAAGTGGTAAAGGTATGATCTTTGATTGCAGCAGAATACGAAACTCCTCGCTAAAGAATTAGCAGCCATTTTCACTCGTTCACTGAGCGAGATGGGATAGATAGGATATAGAAAACCATAATTTAGCCAACCCTTTTTGATTCTCAAAAATAAAAATAAATATTTTTACATTAACCTCATTTTATAATTTTTTAAAGACACATCCTTATCTTTTATAGTTTTATTCAATATTTTAATTTTGAGTAATGCTATGTGCACATAATCATTCACATAATGGTTCACATAATTACATGTGGCATGTGATCCAACTTTTAATTCAAATTTCACAGTTACACATCAACAAGTGGATGATTGCTACGTCATTATTATGTGAATGATTATGTACACCTAGCATTATTCGTGTGTATAATATGTTAGTTAATGGAGTCCCTAGTTTTGTATTCATTGTAGACAATCCATTAATTAGTTATGGGTCGTTGGAGATAGCCCATTAATTTTGCATAACCTAATTTTGTATTCATTTGAATAATTTCTCTTTCGCTCATTTTCAATTTACACAGCACGTTGACACCGCATGTAATCGCGTCAGTTGGGACTTTTTCAAGATCAAACAATGGAATTGATTGGTTACTTCAAAAGCCTTTAAATTTTTTTTCCACCTTAATTGTTTGATGAATTATTTGTGTTCTTCACAAATAGAGGAAAATCTAATAAACATTCATAGAGTATTAAAATATTAATAGTTTCCTGTAAAAGTGGACTATAATTTTTTTTTACATAATTTAGGATATGTTCTATTTACCATTTTCAAACCGTTTTCTGTTTTCGATTTTCCAAAACAGTGAAAACGCTTTTTCTTTCCTATTTTTGAAAACGCGTTTTTGAAAATAAGTTAAAAATTCCCAAAACGACAAATTTGTCGTTTTTGGTGTTTTTAGTTATAATCAAGTCAAAATTTTCAAAACGCGTTTTTGGTATTTTAAAAATAATTTTTTAAAATGTCAAAAAAGAACACATTTTCAACAATCTCAAAATGAACACTCAAAACACAAATTGAATTCAAAACTCAAAACAAAAAATTGAAATATAAAGAGAACGACCTCTTATCCTTTCTTGTGGGGGTATGCGTTCAGAACTGTTGCAATTAATTTAGTGATTAGAAATTTTTTCGTGCGGGAATGAAAATTAATTTATGTATTCAAATTATGACTATATTTTGTTTTTTAACTTGGATTTTGTGATCTTGATGATTGATCATTGCTGAATGTTTAATATTTTTTTTATTCAAGTATATATTTACTAACTTATGGATATGGTGCAAGTCTAAAAATTTTAAAAATGAAAGTAGAGTCAAACTAAATCAAACCAGACTAGAATTGAATGGTTCGATTCTGGTTTTGTTCCATATCTTTAAAAAAAAAGCCATTTGGTTCTATTATAAAAAAAAAAAAAAAAAAACCATTGGTTCAAGTTCAGTTACGTTCTCTTGTAAACAAAAGCAAAGAAACCATGTCCACCTCTACATCTATATAAACATTTTCTCTTTCTAAAACTATTTGTATCTCTTTAATCATTATTTTATCTACTTAATCTCTCCAAAACCACAAACGTCATTTCTTCCCTATCTAAAACCATCTCTCTTTCTCTAAAACTATTTATGTATCGCTCAACAATTTATTCCTTTACCCTCTCTACAGCAGAGATTGGGAATCACCATTTCTCGATTGCGGTAACAAAAAATCTAATGTCTCTCAACTTGTGACATAGACTGACCCCAAAATCAAGACTTCTGTAGCATCGTACCGTGACCT